ATAGTGATAATATATGAAAGAATGTTACCTTTGTTAGAGATTGTTATTTTAGATAAATGATGCTCTGGATGGTATTGATCCTGAAATATGCAATTGTAATTAGTAGCACTATCTTCAATGACATGTCAATTATTGTGGTATTTCGACACGAAGAAACTACACATATTAGGAAAAGAACTATTGTTTCTATTAATTACTTTAATTATTATTGTAGTATTTCGAGAAATTACACATGTCAGATAAAGAACTGATGTTTCTATTTTTTTAAGAACTGTTGTTTTTATTAGTAATTACTTATCAGATAAATGATTTAATAAGTAATTATTCAATTGAAAACTTCATTTCTCATTTTATTAAAATGCATCAAGTGACGGATTATTTGCTGCTGCTGCTGCTACTGCTACTGCAACCGCTGCAATCTTACCGATTTGTACATGCATAGAGCTGAAAGGACATTGAGCTGCATGGAGCATTCCATCGGTATTGCATATTTAGTGCCAACTGGAAAATTTTATTTTTGAAAATAACTAGTTAGATTTGAATGGCAAAAGTTTTGAAAATTTAGAAGTTTTAAATATATAATAGGATTTTCTCGTTTGAGTTAAAAATATGATTTTAGTCAACATGGAATGGCTAAGAATCGATAGCATTGTGAAGTGTTTAATCGCGGATTGAAACTGGGGTCGATAAATCCAAAATTGGAATTTTGCGAGAAATCACTCCATCGATAACCAGCTCCACGAAAATACCATAAACCGAATAGAACGGAATGATATTGATAAAACATCGGCTGATCTGTTTTAAGATCATCTAAAAATGAATAAATACTAAGGCTGATAAATAGGAGAAAATGGTGACTACGCTCTAGAAAGCTTAAAAATTTTGCAATATAATGCAATTTCCTAATTTATATTAAAAGCATGAAATGTGAACCCTGAAGTTTTTTCATGATGAATTCATATTCCTTTTTTTCACGAAATACCGCTGGATACATTCTGATGTGTGTTCGCTGTCGTTGAATTCGACATATTGAATCATCAATCGAATAGAGTTGTTCCTAAAAAGATGCATATCATAGAAATAAATTTCCTTTTTCTTTATGTTAATCTCCAATATTTTCATTTTTAATGGATGAGAAAAATTTACAACAATAAATTTAATTTAATTATTAAAATTTTTTAGGTACCGTATGGTTTGACATTTTATATACAATGGAAAAACAATGAACTTCACCATCCGTTCCTTCCCATCCATGATCGCCGAGTGCACATCGTTTCGGATAATCTAAGTTTTTTTTTTTTATTTTGAAATGTTTGGCCATCAATTTTACTCGAGATATTTCCAGAAAGCTAAGAATCATATAAGGGATGAATCAAGTGATTAAGAAAGAGTGAAAAATGTGGTAAAGAAATGTTCACAAAAGAAATCGGCGCAAATTAATTCCATATTCTAAAATAATAATAAATAAATGGTGAGGTTGTTGACACTTAAAATACCTAATTAACCATTATTTGAAATTATAGAACGAAAACAATATCTCAGAAATTAGGATATAAATTGTAAATTTATTGGAATTTTAAGATTGAAAGAACTAGTTTAAAATGCATCAAATAAGAGTTGAAGATGAGCAAATAAATAAATTTTTAGTAAATAAATCTAAGTAAACTTACTTAAATTTTTATTCGCTAAACTTATTTTCGTTTCGCAATCATATTCTTGCGTGGCCGTTTTTTGTGGCAGATCCTCAAAATTATTATTGAATATTGGCTCGGGAGAGTTTGTTATAAAAGAAAAATTGAGAAAAATATATAAAAAAATGAAAAATTTAATATTTTAGTTCAAAATTAGAAATTTATTAGTAAAATATTACAATCAAATAACTGAATCCAATTAAATAATGATATATTGTAACTTTTTGTTTGCATTCGAATGCCACGATTTTAACTAAAAATTATTGTTAATTTTACTTCGCATGAATGATTTGATTTTTATGTGATAAACTAATTTTAGAATTAAATAAATTCAATAGGGAAAAATGGCAGTATTTAACTTCACAAAAATTTCATTAATTAAAAAAATGAAGCGAAGAAAGTTACTATTACTTTATTTTTGCTACAATGTTGCATTGATTTCAATTATACATTCTGGATGTTGCAATTCTATTGATAGTACAAAAATGATTAATATTTTAAAATATTAATGGCTCTCACGTATTTTAAAAAAGAGGCGATAATCTAACTTATTTATTAACTTTATTACGGTTTTTTTGTTAGCAAAGATATATTAGCACGATAGAATCTCAAAAAAAATTTTTTTTTCATAATTTCAAACTTTATACTTACAATCATTATCTTCAGTGGCCCATGTCATGAAACGATAACAATGGGATTTATTTACACGTGGATTGAATAAAGGATCATGAAATGAGCTAAAATTCGTCTTAGCTGGAGTGCCATCATACCAAATCATCTTACCACCGTACATTCCGGATGAATCATTATTGACAAAACCATTTTGTCGAGTGAAAAATAATCCAAACAATGCACCCACTAATCCTTCTGCATATTCTGGATATTCTAAAATTGCATATCAAAATAAAGCAATTTCATTTTAGCAAAATAATTCGATTTCACCAGTACAGTCAGAAGATTTTATATTAATAATATATTTAAAATGTTCCAAATAATTTCGATATATATCAGCAACGATCTATTGTTATTTTCCGGGAAAAAATTTTCGGGAAAATAAAAAGCATTGTTCCTTTATNATTAATAATTAGAATTTGAATTATTTATTCCAAANTTTTTTTTTCCTTTCCATTTAGCTAATCAAAATTNAAATTCAAATCTATCATCGAATTTTCAATAAATGATTCAGTAAAAAAGATAAAAATGTTTTTAGCTCGTGAAATAACAATGAATTATTTCATCAATATGAAAATGTTCTTACAATTAGTATAGCGTTAGTTACTGAAGAAACGTGTACTTTAAATGCTTGTACGTGAGTTTCTGGAGGATTATAATTCTAATGGAATCATTTTGTTTAAATTATTGAAATTTAATTTTCAGAACCAAGAAACAACTTTTTTTATCAGGATTGATCGTAAACTACTGAAAGATAACATTTCATCTTTCTCCATATCATCTTCAGCTGTAACTACTACTTCCCCATTTACTAACATAAATATTAATGAATGATATCACACTTATCAGCTTTTCCAATTAGCTAATGATTGTATTTAGATTAATTTTTCAATGAAATTTTCTAGCATTAAAATTTGCAACAAAAGATTGATAATGAAAAAAAGCTAAAATTATATTTAAATCTTTTGAAATTGTTTCGTTTCTTTTTGTTCACAAATAATTATCAACTCATTCAATCCCAATGAATGAATTCAAAAATAAATTGCTTCAATTCTTTGAATAATAATGAGTCGAAATTATAAATAAACTTACCAAGCAATGCAGCATAATGAAAATTACGTAAATCTTCCAACGTTGGCGCTATTGCTTCCGTTATATTATTTTGCTTGTATTTTAGAACAATACGTTGGAGAGCATTTTCAGTGCTAATATTAAGACTTACCTATTATGAACAATAAATTAAGATTAATGAACATATATATAAATATAACAAGTAAGCGATTATAGGTGTTTTTTCATATTATTTTTTTCGTTTCATAGTTATCAGCTTATCTTTTATAATGATAATTGTCATTCAATTTCCGTTGAAAGATATGGATAGAAAAATAATTAATTTAATCTAATTTCATTTTCAATCCTCATTATATAATAATTTCAGATAACTAACTTCTTTTATTGGAAATTGGAAAAAATAGCAAATAACTTTTTTCTTCTGCTCTGCCGAGTAACGATAAAAAGAATGCCCATTATTAAGACAACCTAAAAATAAAGGAAGAATTATTATTCAGGTTAAAATTTTAAAAAGTATTATATTCAAATTATTTTTGATCATTGTATCTATTTCACTGGCTTATCACAAATGAAGTGTTGAAATAAAAAAAAAAATAAAAAAGACGGAAATAAACAAAACTGACGAGAAAATTGTACAGCATTTATGAGTATTGTGGAATGATACAACAAAACAACCGTTAGCAATTTCATCGGCTATAAACAATATCATTTCCTTCCGGTTTACCATTCTTTTCTATCCGTTCATCTGCTTAGTAATCATCAAACAATGAAAATACGGTAAACAATTATTTTTCGAAATTGATATTCATGGTCAAATTTCTAATCAACTTTTAAAATTTTTATCATTTCAGATTCGTTCTTTCGTGTTATCGTACTTTGTAAATAAGAGAAACTAATTGCTGTACTTATTTAATTATCGTTCCTGTTTATATTTTATTATTACATGGCTAAATTTTATTGTACTCTTTTGAACTACTGTATTTTTATTACGTTAATGATTTTATAGCGATGATCCATCTTTGTAATCATATCTCATATCGATAATGACAAACAAAATTTCTTTTGAGTAAACTAAAAGGATCAATTAATTGAATCATTAGCGAGGGTATTTAAAGATATTATTGTATCAAAAAGATGTAATGAATAGAAATATATTATTGATTAACGAATAGTTAACATGAAACAATGATTATTATTTATTTCGTGAGTATTAATTACTTGAATTCATATTGATATAAATGTAGTTGTGCAATTAGAAAGTAGCGCTATTTTATGATTAACACAAATGAATTTCAATCGTTTAGCAGTACGATAATGGAATGCATGTTGAAATGTATTGTACTAAAAATGTTTTCTCGGATAGCAATTATCGCTTTTGTTCAATAGACAATCGTTGATGATGCAGCATTTACACGTATACATGTACGTATTAGCCATGATCTATTTGGCTAGAGATGGCGGACCGCCACGAAGACGTGCAAGTACATCAAAATCTTTTAAAAAACTCGCAATTTCATCTCTTTTAATGAGCTGAAAGTTTTTTTTCTCGTTCTTTTTTTGTTCAACTCAATTTTTTCCAGTAATGAAATAATTATTAATTAAACAAAGAAATCAGTTAACAAATGAGGAAAAAAAACTTATACTTAAAACGAGGAATAAGATATTTAGTTATAAAAAAAAAACTAAGCTAATGTTGAGTGTAATGTGTAAATGTTAAATTTATTTGAATTTTAAAAGAGAAAAAGAAAAACAAAAAAAAAGAGCAAAAGTATCATACTTTTCGATTTTCCGAAAGTGCTAAAATGCAGCGATGTATGTAAACGTATTGAATGTCAGTTTGTACGGAGCCATGACGTTGAAGACGAAGTTCTCGAACTACATCACGCATGGTAACTTTCATACCATCATTGAACATTGAATCTGCTATATCCAGACCAACTACTGTTCCTGTTCGACCGATACCTGATAATTAATTAGTAATTAGAAAAGTGTTTAGTACAGTATTTAAACATAATATAACTTTTATTAAAATAAATTTTCGAATGCTTTTTTTTCCTTAGGAATATTTTCCTGAATAATGATATAGCATAAAAAAGGCATATAAAGATTATGCTAAAAGAATCCTGAAAGATGCGACTTATTACTAAGAAATTTTTTGGAAGATAAAAATTTCTAAAGAATATATAAAATTACAAACTTCTAAATTCATCAATAACATACAAACTATTAAATATTTTCTCACGAATTGTTTTTTTTTTCTTAAGTATTTGATCATTAATAAAAATGAGCGTTAGAAATACCTGCGGAACAATGAATTACAACATGTGCCTGATTTTTGATTCGCTGTAAAAGTCGAAAGGGTGCCAAGAAATTATTGGGCACACCACGATCGGGCCAATCATTCCAAGCAATATGCTCCAGTGCTAATTTTTTACTTCC